TGACGGAAAAACTCTGTGTATTGCGTGTAATCACGTCCATACAGTTTATGATCACAACAACAACAACGTTTGTCAGGCATCTACATTGTCGTCTGAGGAGATTACAAAGATTAAACAAGTGTTTTGTTTTTTTTTAACTCTAAAACATGAAATGTGGAGTTATCTGCTTTTGCTATAAAACAAACTTTTAATATGTAAAAAAAACATACTTTCAATGAACTTTAATTTTGTAAATTACCTGTATTTGTTTAAGTTATTATTACTTAATCAAAACAACCCAACTGCAGTTTGATTGATATTACTTGGAATGCACAATAAAAAAAAACGTGATTTCTGAAAAAAATTTTTAAAAAGAGTTATCGGTTTTTGCAAATTAACTCTTCATTTGTATAGCGCTTCATCCAATACAGATCGTGTCAAAGCAGCTTTACAGGAGTTTGTCAATGATGCAAGAAGACAATAACAGGCATTTTTCCAGCTGAAGTCGGTGGTGTCAGTCTCACGAGATGATCATGACCTCTCCTGTCTTTCACCAGATGGACTGAACAGCTTGTGGTTTATCCCAGAACCAACAAGCAAAATCAAAAGAAGAAGCGCAAAGTGGAGCCAGCAACCTCACAGGTACTTTACACTGCGACCTGCTGTAATATTAGTCATCAGCTCTGCTTCTATTGCGCTATGAAATCTGTGTTATTTGTACCGAATTCCATTTTATTTAAACCCGAATTCAAACAGAATTCTGTGTTTTTCCTGTTTTGACTTTTCTGGATTGTTCCGTTTCAGTGGTTTTATTACATTGTTAATAATCAAAAAGGACGTCTAATCAATAGAATTCACAAAATTGTAACAAATTAATAATGGGTCAAAGACGTTAAGATGTCCGCATCAAAAGAAATGTACAAAAGTGATTTTATGTCCATAGAAAGCACATTAAATGTAAGTAAAGTGTCTAATTTTAAGGTTTCAAATAAGTTTTTGGAGAATAAATTTGGTTGAAATAATGTTACATTGTCATTCAGTGTAACACAATATTTATGTAAAAATTCAAACATGCTTATTCTGACCGTGTACATATTAAAATATATAAAAGAATAAGGGAGCATATTGTGTTTTAAATTAGTAAAAAAGTCTTACTGACAAACGGGCAAAAGCTAGGATAGAGGCACATTTTAAAAATATAAAATTACAACTAATTAGTATTTGGGGTGAAAGTAATTAGTCTTTTAATATGTCATAAATTGATTTTTGTTGTAAATATGCCTGACGAGATTGTTACACTGAATGACATTTTAGTGGGTTTCTTCTGTAAATCAGGGAAAAATGTATGATGTTTATTTTTTGCTCGGAAACACAAAAAGAAAATTGCAATTAAATTAAACCGAAAACTTTTTAATTTTTGTTGTTAAAAACAACAACAATTTAAAGCAGTATTACACTTATTGTTTTTATGCTTAAACCCTTTTTCTGTCTTTGACCCTAATGTATTCTATTAATTCAACAATTAGGAGTGCCCTATGAAATGTTTTGTTTTATTTTATTGATTTATTTCAGAAATTCTGTTGTCCGTTTTTAATTTTTCTTGTATTTGTATTATTTAATACAGTTTTATTACTAAAAATGCTGGTAATCAAATGAATGCATAAAGCTTTAACAGTTTAATCGATGAAAATTGTAATCAAATTAAATTTGACCAGTTCCTTTCAGTTTGGCAAATAAAGTGCTGCACAACAGTGGTTTACTGTTCATATTAAAACAAAATAATGTTTTAATAAACATATATGCATTTAGCACATGCAGGTTTTTTTGTAAAAAAAAAAAATGTTGGTAACACTTTACAATAAGGTTAATTAGTTAACTGTATTAGTTAACATGAACTAAGCATGAACAATACTTCTATAACATTTATTAATCTTAGTTCATGTTAATTTCAACATTTACTAATACATTATTAAAATCAAAAGTTGTATTTGTTAACATTAGTCATATGTAGTAAATGTCTAATGTAAAAAAAGTTAGATTCACGGGTAACACTTTATTTTAAGGTGTCCTTGTTACACGTGTTACATGTACTTACTATTATAATAACAATTAATTATGCATAATTACATGCAAGTAACCCTGAGCCAAACCCTAACCATATAGTAAGTGCATGTAGTTAATTAATATTACTCGGTACTTAAATGTATAATTACACTGTAACAAGGACACCTTAAAATAAAACGTAACCCATATTTTATATAAAGAGCTTGATGATAATATAGTTAGTTACATTTTGCAACAATATTACAATCAAGCAGATTTGCTATATAGTATACATGTCTTAAAGTCCCCCGTAGTGAAAATTAAGTTTTTTATGTTGTCTATGTGGTGTTTTTAATATGCTTTTAGACAAACCATGTGCCAATCCATTAAT